TTTTTTAAAAGCCCTAATTGATCACATCTGCAAATACCCTTGACATGCAGAGCATCATAATTCACAGGTTCTAAGGATGAGGGTATAGACATTCTATTATTCTATTTACGGCATGAGGCATCATACCTAAAGGAAGGGGAGCCAGGTATGGTACTATACATCCTTAATCCCAGCACTTGAGAGGCTGAGGCAGGAATATTGATAAGAACTTGAGGGTTGACTGGGCTACATAGTGAGTTCAAGGCCAGCCTGAACTACAGAGCAAAGCCTCTCTAGATGATAGATAGGTAGCATTGGTAGGTGATAGATAGATAGATAGATAAAGGAAATAGGAATGGCAGGTTCAAAGGGCCTACAACAGGTTACCCGGCATGTTGGAAGATCATGGAGTAGATGGGCAAATGGAACTAGGAGGAGACAAGGTCAAAGGAGGTAGCGTAGCTGCTGCCAGCCTTTGTGGGCCCCAGGGAAAACTTTGACCTCTACCTGCTGAGGGACATGATCTAACAGTTGTGGGGTTTTTGTTTTGTTTTGCTTTATTTTGTTTTGATTTATGATAGAGATTTGCTATGTAGCACAAGCTGGCATTGAACTCACGATCCTCTTGCCTCAGCCTCCTGAGTGCCAGAATTACAGGTGTGCACCACCTGCTTGGAAATCTCACAAGTTTTAGCAGAACCCCTCTGGTTTGTTGTTGAGAGCAGACTATCCAGGAGGAGACTGCTACAATATCTAGGTGAAATGAAGGTGACTGGAGGAATGTGGTGAGAGGGACATTTTTCACAGAAATTTTAAAAACCATCTTAAAATTCATTTGCAGCCACAAAAGGTCCTCAATAACAAGATGAGAAAGGACAAAGCTGGGAGCATCATGTTACCTGATTTCAAATTATATTATAAACCACTAGTAATCAAAACAGAATGCTACTGGCATAAAAGCAAACATATAAACCAAGGAAACAAAATAGTGATCCTAGAAATAAAATCAAGCTTATGTGGCCAACTAATATACAATAAGGGCACTAAGAGAACATAATAAGGGAACGACAGTCTCTTCAATACATAGCGAAATTGAATATTCACATGCAAAAGCATAAAATTGGACCCTTATCTTACATTATACACAAAGATCATCTCAAAAATGAATCTAGACTTAAACATAAGATCTTGTTATGGTTTGTGTCTAGGTGCCTCCCACCAGCCTCATGTAGTCATGGAGGCAGCTTACTGCAGTGTTTGTAATTAGTTCGTTGTCCAGTGCTGGAATTGGTGGTGTGAGTGCTGTGCCCGCCCAGGAGCGGAGCCAGCGTACAGTATAAGGTGGGGGGGGGAGAAGGCATGTTTTTTCCCTCTTTTGCCCTTTCGTTCTTGCCACTTGCAGCAGCCATAAACAGCTGCCCCTCAGCCATGCCACCCTGCCTTGGAGCCAGCGGAGTATGGACTAAACCCTCCCAAAAAACAATGAGCTAAATAAACCTTTCCTTGCTTCACTTTGGATACCAGGTATTTTGTCTTAATGAGAGAAAAGTAACCAAGACAGATCTGAAGATATAAAACCCTAGAAAAAAAATGAAAATATTTCTTGACTTTGGCCTAGGCACCAATTTTTTTAGATATGACATTAAAAGCACAAACGAGACAAAAATGAACAACAGTAGTCCCAGAATTTGGGAGGATGAGGCAGGTGGATTGCTGGCAGTTTGAGACCTACATGGACTACATAGTGAGACATTGTCTCAAAAAAAAATTTAAGAAGCTTCTATACAACAAAAGAAATAATCAACAAAATGAAAAGACAATCTACAAAATGGAAGAAAATATTTACAAACCATGTATCTTGCAAGATGTTAATATCTAAAGTAAATAAGAAATTTGTACAACTGAATAGCAAAAGAGCAAATTAACCTGATTAATTGGATCCAAATACATTTCCAAAAAAGACATACAAATGCCCAATAGATACTATATATAAAAATGTCTCCACTAATCATCAGGGAAATGTACATTAAAGCCAGGAGATACCACTTCGCACACCTGTGAGGATGGCTGGTATTAAAGAAACACAAGGTAAGTGTTGGTGAGGATGTGGAGAATTAGAACTCTGGCAGTAGTGTGGGAATGGATGTAGGTCCAGCTGTTATGGAAAATGGTGTGGTGGCTCCTTAAAAAGTTAAAGACCAAAATACCATATGATTCTGCAACCCTTATCCTAAGAAAGTGAAATCAGCTTGTGTTTGTTTGGTACTGGGGCTTGAACCTAGGATTTCACACAAGTGCTCCACCATGGAGCCATATCCCCAAGGGATGCTTACCTGAAGAGATACTTACACTCCTTTGTTCATTGTCTTATTTACAATAGATAAGTTATGAGAACAACCTAAATGTCCATCAACTGATGAATGGATAAAGAAAAGAGGATGAAAGAAAAAGATGGTTTATGCAAAGGATAAAACATGACTCATCTTTCAAAAAAAGAAAAAGGAAATTCTGCCATTTGTGATAATATAAATAGAAGTAGAGAACATTATGCTACATAAAATAAGCCAGACATAGAAAGAAAAATACTATATAATCTCATACATGAATTTTAAACTAGTCAAACTCAACAACAGAGAACAGGATGCTGGAAGATGTTGGTCAAGAATATTGTTTTGGTTGTACAAGGTAAATTTTGGAGATTCAATGTATGGCATGTTGACTAGGCAACAAAACTATCTTCTATATTTGGAATTTGCTAAGGTAGACCCTTAATTCACACACACACACACACACACACACACACACACACACGATCACGAAAGTAACTACATTAGATGCTTGTAGTATATACTGTATGCTATACATATACTGTATATATATTTGACTTGTATATATTAAAAATATAGGGCTTTTTCCCCTAAGGCAAGACCAAAGAAGGGCAAATTTGATCTGATGAAGTCAAAAATTTGCTTTGAGATGCCTACTGGGTATCCAAATGATGATATTGAGTAGGAAGTCCGATATGGAGTTTAAAAGTGAGCCCTGGGGGCTGGGGATTTAGCTCAGCGGCATAAGCACCTGCCTTGCAAGCAGGCAGTCCTGAGTTCGATCCCTGGTACCGATAAAAACGAAAAAGACAAAAAAAAAAAAAAGTGAGCCCTGCCAGAGATCAGTTTACAAAGGATTAATTGGCATATGGGTGGTCTGATGATTAACACATCAACTTGACCAGGCCATGGGATGAACAGGTATCTGGTTAAACATTATTTCACTGTGTCTGAGTGTTTTGGGAAGAGATTAGCATTTGAATAGCTGGCCTGAGTAAAGTACATGGCCTCCCCCATGTGGGCCTCACCCAGTTCATTGAGGGTCTGAATAAAACAGAAAAGCAGGAGGTTGGGCTTGCCCTTCCTCATCCTGACTGCGTGATCTGGGACTCCATCCTCTGCTCTCAGCATTCCTGGTTCTCAGGGCTTAAGACTTAGACTAGAATCTACCCAACTGGCCTCACCCCAGCTTTTCTGGATTTCCAACCTGTAGACAGATCCTGGGACCTCTCAGCCTCTGTATTTACCTGAGGCAATTCCTTGTAATAGATCTCTGCCATTGGTTGCTTCTCTTGAAAACTCTAATTCAGATATCATTTAAGTCCACAAACCCAGATGAGAATCTATGAGCCAAGAGGAAGTCTATAGGGACTGGACCTTCTACTAACACAGATGACATAAGACTAAGACCTGGGCACTCCTGAGGATAAAAAAAACCTGGGAAAAGATGAGGTCTCATCTGAGAAGCAGCAAACATGGGATGAACGTATGTCGAGGATAGCCCTTGCTTTCTGAGGCCCACCCAGCCTCTGGCAGTGTGGAAGGGAGACAGTATAAAGGGTTAGACCCTCTGCCAAGGTAGCACTGCCCTTCAGAGTGGGCCGTATCTCCTCAAGCCGGAATGCTCCGCTCTAGAGGCCCGGCCCCCACTGTCCCAGTGTCATTTCAGCATCTGCTGAGTAAGCCTCAACTTGTCACTTTCACTGCCAGGTGGCCAGACTGGCCCCCCAGGTCTGGGATGATGCCCCTGAGCCAGGCTCCCACATCTTCTGTTGCTCCCACTTGTACAACTACCCACACAGAACCTGTTCTTGTCTGAGTCTCTAAACCAAGCAGACTCTGGATTTCTGGAAAGATTCCTTGTTTCTGTGGCCTAGCATGACGTCTGGCATCTAAGAGGTTTTTGTGGGATAGAAATACTCAAGAAAAGCCCTTTCTGATGCTTGCATCTGGCCAAGATTGGCCATGTGTTAGGCAGAACTCCAGGCCCTGGACTTTCTCCTCTGAAACCAAAGTGCTGGCAGATCTTGCCAAGCCCCTATCCATCTTGGCTGGTACCCTCATGGCACTGTACCTAATGACACTTACTGAGTATTTGTTAAATACCCAAGAAGGGGCCTTGGCCTTGGGTCACAGGCTCAGCTCCGGCACTCTCAAGTAAGCTTGCACTTTGGATTCCCACCTCTAAAATGGAGATGACACTCATCTCTTAAGTTCCTTCCAGTCCTGATAACATTTAGTAAAGTGTTTGGCAGACTGTAAAGAGCTGGCAGTTCTGATTTACCAGAGATCAGGGTTTTTCCTAGGCAGCTGAGTCAGGACACACAACAAGACCCACCCAAAGCCACACGAGGCACCTACTGTAGTGCACTTGGTCCTTCTCAAGCCTCTGAGGATGAGTAGCCTCTGCCACAGGCAGCAGGAACCTAGGCAGTGTGAGGGCCTCGACCTGGCGGAAACTCTAAAACACCCACAGACATCCACAAGTGTTTCCACTGACTAAGGCCAGACTTCCTGAAAATGGGCGCCAGAATGGCTGGGCCTCAGGACTACTCTGACCAAAGTCACCTCCCATTCTGCCATCCTCACACCCCCATGGGGCCACTTCTCCAGGGGGGTTAGCACTTTTCGCACTCTCAGGTTAGGGACCCAGGTATTCTCTTCCCCTCAGCAACAAGACAGCACACAAGCAGGTTCCGCATGCAAAGCACTTTATTGACTTTTATTTTCCCAAGTAACTTTTCTTTACTGGTTAGAGAATGAAAAACAGAGGGGCAGGGGGGACGTACAGGTAGAAGTCAAAGGCATAACACATGATGAATGTGTTGTAATGCGCTCAGGAGGCTGGTCTGAAGCTGACAAGCTTGCTACTTCAAAGGCTCAAAAAGTTTATGCCCAACAAATATACACTCATTCAGCCAGATCCCTCCCACCTGCTAGAGGAAATGCAGGCATGACCCTGGCCCAGGCCTTCTGCCAATGAGCGTTTTTCAGGCCTGACAGATGCAGCTCGTGGACCGCTCAATTACATGGCCACAGTGTCCTGCCCTAACACAGGTAAGGCCTGGCTCCATCCACACAGGAGAAATGAAAGTGACTAATGAGCACATCTGTGGTACATAGCAATGGAAGAGGAAGTACTTGTCAGCATTAGATAATGACTCCAAAGTGTAGTGTGAATCCACAAGGTGGTGCCTATTGGCTAGCCACAGTGATTAAGTAACTGCGAGCTAACCTGGCTTCTGAACAACCCCCCTAGGGCAGTGTCTGCTCATAGGGCATTTCAGTCCCTGGACTGAAAACCACCATGGGAGCAGGAAGAGGAAGTGTTATCTGTCCAGCTGAAGCCTGGAGACTGTCATGACTGTCAGATCTCTGTGGTCAGAGGGTGTCACGGCCTCTAGACACTGAGCCCAGGATAGCGGAAACAGGATGTTGATTCCCAGAGGACTGCCCCCAGGCCTGCCTGGCTCCTCAGGCCTCCACTTCTACCGCTTCTTCTTGGTCTCCTTCTTGGGCCTCTTGTTGGCAGAAGCAACAGCAGCTTTGGTCTTCCTTGTCACCTCTGCGGTTCTGGGTTCAGATGGTTCTGTCTCCTGCAAGGTGATAAAAAGAGAAGTCCAGCTAGCTTAGAGCAATCAAGCCTGACTGAAGGGGCTTTGCATGATCTGGAAACACCAGGAATGGGAAGCCTCCTCCCTGGGACTCCGATCTGGGCTCTTTCACTTTCCAGCACAGTGACCTTGTGGGCAACTCACTTCCCTTCTGTGTCTAGGTTACTCATCTGTGAAATGGAAATAGCAATGTACAGCTTGGTGGGCTCATGTCAGAAGGCAAAAGGCATGGAAACACCAGGAAGTAGTGGCTATCTGGCGGCTGGCTGCTCACCCTGTGTGAAGGACTGGACAGAATGTGGGTGAGGGGCTGGCTGTGGTCCCATTCACACCACAGAATGCAGGGCTGAAGGTGGACAGGGCAGCCAGCAGGTGCAGAGTCACTACACCGTGTTCTGTGCAGCCTGGCAGAGGTGCCCTAGGGGAGGGCAGGGGTAGCCTTGAGCCAGAACTCCAGATTCCCTCACAACTAGGGCAGCTCTGTTTTATCTATTCATACAGTGATTTGTTTCCTTATACACTGTGATTTGATTGAAACAAAGGTTCTGCTGTTGAAAGGAAAAGGTTCAAAACAACAGATTCAGTCCTGGCCTTCACTGTGCTAATAAAGAAGGTGGACTCCTGGAAGGGTCTGACCTTCGATGAGCCACTGAGGCTCATGTCAGAGAAGAACCTGGAGCAGATTCAGGCTACTCCTGTTTAGTGGCTTCACCTCCTCTGGGTGATAAAGTAGAAAGGACATTAGGAAGGCCACGCTGGCCAGGGACATCACTGCTGCTCATAGGCCTAGGCTGATCTACAGGCAAGCTCCCCTTGGCCTGCAATGTTTTTGCTTTGTAATTTAAACTAATTGGGGGGCTTCCATACAATATAGATTCCCAGCTTTTCTGGAAGACTTTGCACAGCCAATGCCACTGGCTCTGCACTTGCTTGCTGCAACAATAGGTTATGAGTTCACCCCTTTATTTGGGTGCAAATCTCTCCATGGACTTCACCACTCTGCTGCCCCAGCATGTGACAGAGGAATGCTTTTTACCCTGATCTTTATTTAAAGAGAGAATGAAAAGCAGGCTTCCATGACAGGGGGCCTACATACTTCTTCTGGAAGACAGAAATATCCATATTTAACTTGCCAACCCTCAGCTTCTAGCTAGCTTAACTCTCTGACTTCCCCTGCTCATCACCTACCCACCCCCACTGCCCAAAGCAGAGGGACCACAGCTGGGCTGGGAGAGGAGGCAGTGCCTGCCAAAGGTCAAATCCAGAGCCCTGTCACCTTCCAACTCCATCTTATTGACCACTATCACCCCTAGCCAGCCAATCAAGATACCAGATATGAAGGCCTTGGTGAGGGGTCTCAGGAACCCACAGCCTGAGCTTCCCCTGTAACAGGAGTGCTGCCACTTCCTTGCCCAGAACTTAGACTACAGCTCTGTACTACTCTGGCCTGCTAGGCTTCCTCTTATCAAAAGTCAAAGTGATATCCAAGATCTCCCTGTGGTAATAACTTTATACAACTTGGCAAAAAAAAAAAAAAAAAAAAAAAAAAGCCCATTAGAAAAACAAAACCCAACTTCAGAGAAGCGCCTGTCAACTGCACATACACAGCTGCAGAGTGCATGGGGAAGGCTTGTGTTTATAGCAAACCCAACAGGGCCTAATGCATTTGGGGCCTGGAAACTATGTCAATGCAGAAAGCCAGCAGAAATCACTCAGTTCCTGAGCATCTTGGGCAAGGGTTTATGCCTAGGCAACCTGCTAGGACTTACCCAGATCTCCAGGACAGAGATCCTCTTTCTAGTTCAAAGCCAGGTGTCTTCTCCAGTTTTAGTGGGGCCCACTTCAGAATTCAGAGCTGGTGACACCCAGTTGCTGGCCCCCGGGCCTTCTCACTCTACAGACCCTCTTTCTGGCATCTCATCCCTTCTGGCATCTTTCAGATCACCAATGGCTCTCCATAACCCACCCAGGATGGCACGAAGGAGACCATCTCTCCCACCCTGTCTGGTCAGGCCCTGAGCTTTCCCTGACAACTGCCATCAATAGCCATATCCTCGTTCCCTTGATCACCTAGCAAATCCTGCTCTGTAGTCTGCCCAAGAACACACTCCAACCATCTAACCTTCTGTTTTCTGCGGCTCCAATTTCAGCTGGCAGCATCCCTCCTCTGCTCCTACCCCAGGCACTAGGCACCTTATAACACCGCTACTACTTTGCCATAGTGATGGCTTTCTGTGTCGGTCTCCCTTGTTAGCCCATGATCTCTTTGCGATGCTTCGATTGTTGCTAAATGAGCAAGCAAATGAAAGAACAGGATAGGTCTTCCATAACTATGGAGATTCTGTTCATTTATTACTCTGAAAATACAATGCTTAAGACTAGGCTTCAACCTGTCTGTAATTCCAGAACTCTTGGGAGACTGATCCAGAAGGATCATAAATTTGACCCCAGGGGGCAACTTAATGACTTAGTATGACCCTGCCTCAAAAAATAAAAAAGGGCTGAGGTTATAACTCAAGGTGAAAGTCCCAGGTTCAATCCCAGTAATGCCAAAAAGGAAAACCAAAACAAAAAACGCCACAAAGAACCTACTTCACTCTTTGTATGGACACACAGCACTAAAATCTAATACACACCCCCTTCGGTATGCTAGGCATCACTACCAACAATGGCTAATACTGTAATTATTTACACTATTCCAGGCCCTACGCTATATAGTCTAGACAGTTTAATCTCATAAAGGCCATCATGAGTCCCATTTTATAAACAAAGACACAGATATTCAGGGAATTTATCAAAGGTCTCAACTGGTGAGTGGCAGAGTCTGGCTTTGAACCTAATCAACTGGTTATACAGTACTTCCTGGAGACCCCAGGGTTTCCTGGGTAGCTTAGGGGCCATGAACCCCTTGAGTCTGAATTAAATGTAACATTTTCTCTGTTAAGCACTCCCTCTAGCACTACAAGGTGATTCTGCAATAAGAGAAGGGTCTGTTCTAGGTTCTAACTGTTGAAGGGTCACTCAGAGCCCCACAGTGTGTGACTAATGTTCCCATAGGAGTCAGGAAAGTGGGCTGGTGCTCCTAACTCATGCTGTATTTTTTGAAGCTGAAAGCAGTTCTCTGTGGGTGTGTGTACACATTACAGTCATCGAGTCATCTGAATGCATTATCTGTCTCCTCCTCACCCCAGACCTCCTCCTCACTTCCCCATCTCAGTTTCTAGCACTGTCACCCATCCAGTAACCCAAGTTAGAAACCATCCAGTTATTCAAGTCATTTCTAAATTCTCATGATGCCCTTGTGCCTCCACACCCACTGTCTACTCCTCTTCCCCAAGGGGTCTAGACTAGGGGCCTCTGCTCTAGGTGCACTCTGCAGCCCTGGCTCAGACCCCATGCTCTCCTCCCCACTTCTGACAGTATCAGCCACCTATGGACTCTCCTGCCCATTCCTTGTTTTCTCCGCTCTCATTATTCTCCATAGTGCTTTCAGAGTCTGTTTTCCTAAAGTAATCACAACAGTCCTGATCATGCCTGTTTTCTGCTTTTAAAATGCTGCTAGCCTTCCTTTATATGAGACAGATTCCACGAGACTTAGCATGGTCTGTGAGGCCATTCCACTCAGCCTCAGCCTTCTCTCTAGCCAGCCCTCCTGTCACTCTAGGCTACCTGCTAGCCAGGAGTACCCATATCCATTGCCTTCCATCCGCTCTATAGGTGCAGGCATTCGACTTACCTACCTGCAACCGGTACACATAGGTCCCACACACCTTGGGGCAATGAAGAAGGGCGTGTACATGTGGAGGATGTGTATGTGTGGAGGATGTGTACGTGTGGAGGATGTGTACCGTGTACATGTGGAGGATGTGTACGTGTGGAGGATGTGTACCATGAGAGCACTCCACATCTGTCAGCTCACTGAGCTTCTTGACCACAGCAGTAAGTCAGCCACTATGAAGCCCTTTACAGGTAAGGCAACTAAGGCCCCCTGAAACTGCATACGGCATATGCAGCACAGCCACCCTCCTTGCAAGCTGTGGGGAGGCAAAAGCACCTGTCGCATGCTTTGGGTCCTTAGGTCCCAGTCACACAGAACCTGCAGCTCCAACTCCAGCTGGCAGGAAGGACTCTAAATGAAAGAGTAACTTTAATTTCTCTTCAGATGTGTGTCACCAGGATGAGGCAGGCAGATGGTCAGCTACACACTCCGTAGCCTTACCTTCAAATCTGGGAACACTGCCTTCCTCTGAAGCCAGTTTTAAGTTTCCTTGACCACTATGTTGTGAAAGGTAAAAGAAAGAAAATCTCAGCTGCCAAGTGGCTCCTGGGGCTGTGGAGGTGTCTTCTGTGGATACCGGCCCCATCAATAATGAGGCTGCTCTGAGTCACTTACAGGCCAGAAAATTGCTGCTATTCATCAGGTTCAAATAATCGAATCTGTGCCACAATGCATCAAATCCCTTCCAGCAGGGAAGGCGCACTAAGTTTTATGATTTCCACTTTACAGCTCATTGTGGATTTAGTTCTGTAAATCAGGACAGCATGTCATTCTACACAGACTAAAACCATTCTTTCCTTGAAAATGGTCTAGGCAAAGAAAACTACTGTGCTATGCTTGAGTGCTGTCTTGGATTTATTTCATCTGATCTTCCAAGAACTCTGTGGATCCTCTTTTTATGGCTTAGGCCCCAAGGCTCAGCTGGAATAATAAGGGGCTGGCACTCAGACCAAGTCTGCCTAACACTGAAGCTCTTTGCCGGCCCCTCAGTGCTATTCTTGCCTGAGGCCCTGCAGAGCAAGCGGTGCTAAGAAGACCTTACAGAGATGGAGCTAGCAGCGGCCTTGAGAAGAGGAGAGGACTAGCTGAGACTAGGGGCGCAGCGGAGGTTGTCCATGTGGACTCAACTGAAGAGACAAATGAAGAAAGAGACAAAGTCCAGGACGCACTTGGCAGGCAAGTGGAATTGTGATTAGAAAGAACA